ATTGGTACCACTAAGTGGGAAACACCAATGTGCTGCCTACTCATCTTCGCTAAAAGGGCATGTGGTGTTTTTGGGTCAGCGCACCCATATCCCCAACAACCAAACCTGTAGCCCTTCCAACAGCTATAGCTCATTACATCGGCAAAGGAGCAACAGTCCTCAACAGTGGGAGGTGGTGCCAACTGGAAGAGTTTAGCGCCAAACTTCTTGGTTAGCATGTTTTTGCGCAAACAAAAGTAGGGCACGTTTTTTCTATGGTTTTGGCCCAAAACCTTCTCCTGCTGTCGTCCCTTTCCCGCCCTCCCATGCTGCAGGGGGCTTCGTTCCAACAAGCTCACGGGCTCCATCCCTCCCTCCATTGCCTCACTGAATCTGATTGATGCCCTGTAGGTGCCGTGGCACCAGTGTTGCTCTGCCACTGCTGCTGCTGTGACCCTCCCCCGTAGATGCAACATAACCATTATTCGCTGCTACCTCCTTATCCTCCCCTCTCCAACCTCTACTCCAACTGTCTTCGCTGTTCCCCCAGCGACCTGAGCTCCAACCAACTGTCCGGTCCCATCCCCGCAGAGATTGGAGCCATGCTCGCCCTCACCAGGCTGTCAGTACCTCTCCACCTCAAACGCTGCAACCCTTCTCCTTTCCTTGGCACGCCTTACCTCGCCCACACTTGATTTTCTGCAATTTCTTGGCCATGCCCAACCTATCCCACACTTGCCGTCCCTGCCTTGCCATGCCCAACTTATTGTCGCGTGCATCTCTGGGCCCCTCGCTTGTGTTCTTCTATATTCATTCCTCTCACTCGCACGTGTACTGCCTCTGCCCTTCACGCCTTTCTTGCAGCAATTTATCAAACAACCTGCTCTCAGACGGCATTCCTGCTGCCCTGGCTGGACTCGTTCAGCTTAAATTCCTGTGAGTTGCACGCACATTGTGGTGCATGTTTGCGATTTCCATTGTACACGTGCCTTCATTGCTGCTCACACTCAAGCAAACCAAAACCAGTTGCTGCTGCAACATGACCTCCCAATTGGCAGCCAAGAAGAGGTCGTGCCAATGCACCGTTTTTCTCCTTTTGGGCCGTTCAGCCTGGATCGCAGACCTGCAGCCTTGGAATTTGGTTTTTCATTTCCCATTTTCACTCAGGCTGCTTAAAAACAATCAGCTCACCGGTCCCATACCTGCTGGCATTGATGTGCTCACAAAATTGGTAGAACTGTAAGACATCCCATCCCTATCTTGTGGCCATCTCTTGCATCACTCACCAGAACAACAACCTTTTCTGAGTTAATTTGCTCAGTGTACCTAGATTAGGAAAATCCGATGCTGCTCCTGGGCTTGGCTGTTCCATCTGATGCTGCTTCTGGAGATTTTTTCAACCACTGAATTTATACGCTACACTTAGTCCTACTGCTTTCGCCAACACAGCAAATCCCCCATTTTGAGTGTGTAAGTTAACCATCAGGGCTAGAAGAACATGTTTGCTTTTGGTGGGTCACTGCATCCATACCCCCAACCGAACCTGTAACACTACTAACTTATGTGGCTTCTTTTGGTGATGTAAGAGCAATAGTCTTACACAATGAGAGATGGTGCCAACTGGGGAAATCGAAACCAACTTTGCTCGGTTAGCGTGTTTTTTTCACAATGAGAGATGGTTCTCTGCTGCTATGCGTCCTCCCCCTCTCATGGAACCATATTACATGGCACTGTTGCTCTCCCACTCCCAATCTGGCTCAGCTGCTGCTAAGACTCTCCACAGCAGCTAATGTGTCTTTCAAGAGTATAGTTGCCAAGCTTAAAACCTTCTGAAACCAACCTCTAGGGATGAGCAAAGGGCGAACTCAATCATGTTTGAGTGTTCGCCGTTCGCCTGTTAAGGCGTGTTCGGGCGAACCTCGAACACATTCGTGTTCGTTTCGGGGCAAATTGCAGCAGCGGCCAGAACACGAACGTGTTCGGGCAAACCTCGAACACTGTTCGGCGAACACTCTAAGCCAAAAAAAAAAAATCTGTTCGGTTCTTTGCTCATCCCTACCAACCTCTACCTCCTTATCCTCTCCTCTTCAACCTCTCCCAATCTAACTGTCTCTGCTGTTCCCCCAGCGACATGAGCTCCAACCAACTGTCCGGTCCCATTCCCACGGAGATTGGAGCCATGCTCGCCCTCACCAGGCTGTCAGTCGCTCTCCAACTCAGTTGCTCGAATCCTTCGTTATGATTTTTGTTTTTCCCACCCTCACCTCTGCTTGCCTATTGTCTGTCCCCTAAGTGGTGTTTTCGTCCTTTCCTTTCTCACACTCCATGCCTGTTTATTATCTGTCTTGCATGCCTCTCTCCAGTGATATTTCGGACAACAATCTTACTAAAGCAATCCCTGCTACGTTGGGTGGACTCAATAAGCTAGAATTCTTGTGAGTTGCAATCTACTATGCATCGTGGTACGCGTTAAACAAACTAGAATCAACTGCTGCAAACGAACGTTTTGGAGATATCACTCCTTTCCCCCTGAACATCTGAGATACTGATTCACTCAGGCCACCCTTTTTCCAGTTCCAGTCCCAGTCCTGGTCCTAGTTCCAGTCCCAGTCACATTCCCAGTACCAGTCCTTGCCTAGCCAGTTTTGCATACCACCCTTGCACCACTATCTGTGACCACAATGTCCTTTTTTTAGCCATCAAATCATAGTCCTATTCTTAGTTTTTTAACCCTGGGTTAAGTAACTCAGACTGGCAACCTCACATATTGTTTGTATTTACCTCCTTATCGTTTACCACATTTTTGCCTTCCAATTTTTTCTTCAGTAACCTTTCCACCAACCAGCTTTCAGGAACCATTCCTTCTAGCTTCAGCGACTTCACTCAAATGAAATTCTTGTGAGCTCAAGTGTATAAACCCCATGAATGTGAGCGAGGATAACACATTCTGACAAGGGATCAGCTTTGCTGGTACAATTCATTATGAACACGACATAGCAGCACGGCAGGACAGGCAGAAATGCTTTTGTTTTTAATGCATCCTGATTCACCTGTCACAAGATCATTTGCCATCTCTTAATAGCTGCGTAAATGATCCATGTTCATGTATCTATGGTATAGAGTTCTATGTGTTACTAGGATGCTAACTTTGATTCTGATAGTGACTTGCACCATGTGGGGTAAAGTCACCAACTATTGTCCCTTATGTCATGGGTACACCGTATGACCTGTCCAAAACCACGCGTATCTCTACAAGAATCTTCTGTCTGGAGATATTCCTACCAGCCTTGGCACCTTGGCATTGTTGGAGTCGCTGTAAGGCGTTTCACCCTTCCGGCTATTTATTTGCTGTTTCCCTTGCTCAAACCGAATCTAACCTCTTTCCCGAGCTGTAGCAATGCCTTTAAATCACACGAAAGCCTCATCTTTTTGCCATTAGACTATGCTTATGGCCTTTGGTTTCCGATGTCACCCAACTGATCCTCCGCATCCCCAACCCCCCGTCCGCCTGCCCCACCCTTTCCTCCACAAAATGTCTTTCCTCCCCAGTTCTCTTGATTCCAACAAGCTGTCGGGTTCCATGCCCTCCTTTCTGACAAAGCTTACAGGAATCACAAGCCTGTAAGCTCATACAGGAGAAACATGCCTTCAAAACTTATGGTCCAGAGGTCAAGAATCCTCAGTGTAACAAGTACCTCTCTTCTGTGCATTTTGAGACACTCTGATGCATTTTTGCCTCTTAAAGTGCACAAGCATCTAGAGGTCCCTGCAACAATAATTCTCGAATCAACATGTGGAATTCACATTTCTTGTGTCACTCGAGAACTGATTTTTGAAGTCCCGAAATTTCTCTCCCTCCATCTCCTAAAACTCCTCGTTTTCCCTCAGGGTTCTTGACAACAATCAGCTCACTGGCTATATCCCGTCAGGCATAAGCTCACTCACAAACCTCGTAGTCCTGTAAGCCCTTCATCTTCTTCTCGTGCACACACTTTCTGGATCTTCTCTTCTTCCCTCCTATGTCACTAATCCCCGCAATTGTCACTCCCACGATGCTCCCCTCACCAGTATTCGTAATATCCAGTCACCACCAAGACAAGAAAAGCACAAACCAATCCAGGACACCCATCTTGTCCCTGCTTTCCAGAGTGATGGCCAATCTATATCCCGTCTTCTCATCCCCTCCTCTCTAATCAGAGGCCTGTCTCGTAACCGGCTCGTTGGAACCATCCCTGACTTCATCAGTGCCCTCTCCAGTATATCTATCATGTACGTTTCACCAAACTATCTCCTCTGTAGTGCTCATGAAAGCGTATCTGCTGTGTATTGCTCACTTCCATTTCGTGTCTTGCCATGCCACCATGCTTTCCTGTACAATGAGTTGCCTTACGCTCTCCTCTTCGTGAATCGTTCTCTCTTGCTGATTTGTTCCAGTAATCTCCAACACAATCTTCTCACTGGAACAATTCCTGTGGCAATGGGGGACCTTTCCCAACTGGGTTACCTGTAAGTGGCAAACTCAGCGGTGCCCCTAACATCTCACCTCTTCTCCATGCACAAGCATCCCTGTAAGTCACATGCCACGAACGGACATACCTGCATGAAGTTCCTTCCCGTAAGCCCTCTCCTTGCTGCAGGATTCGCCTCTTCCTTCCATGTGACAACCATGGCTAAGAAACCACACCTATGTGCTTGCCCACCTGGTGTACTCCTACCATTTTTGTTTTTTCAACCTTGATGCTGCTGCCTGCTTGATGCGGCCTGCTTCCACCGCTATTCGCACCAGGTCGCTTGCTTCCAACCAGCTGTATGTTCGCATCCCTAGCACGTTCACCAAGCTCACGAGCCTCACCTACGTGTAAGCCAGAATGACACGCGCACCACCTCCATAGTTCTGATAGTTACTATTTCTATGGACGCTATATGCACATACACCTTTTTATGCACACACACACACACACACACACATATATACATATACGTATATGGAACTCTCAACTTCGAATCTGTGGGCTTCGAGAATGCTGTAAGGACCTGGTTGTGTAGCAGTTATATGCATCAACAGCCTTAAAACCTCCTCTATCGTCGGTCATGTTACAAAAAACTGGAACCTGAATAAGATTGTTGCATATCAAAGTTTTACACATTGATGCCAATTAATTTCGGAACCTTGGTGATGTGACTAGATACAATACACCAGCTAGCCAAGTTAAGAAGCTGAATGAACACAATCAAACCCCATAGTCATTCATCACTCCCATATACCTCTTTCTACTCAACATCCTAACCCCTCAATCCTTTGTATGCAATCCCCCTTCCTCTTCCCCCACCCTCGCCCTCCCTTCCCAGCGACCTCTCCCGCAACTACCTCACAGGCCCCATCACGCTGCCCGCCATCAGCAGCCTGCGTGTCTCCAGCAACTTCTTCTCCGGCCCTCTGCCGGACGGGGCATGCCAGGCTCGCAACTTCGATGCCAACTGCTTCACACTGCCTTCTGACTGCTCCCTGGTGGTGCAACGAAAGGAAGCAGCATGCAATGCGTTCTGTGGCATATCCTTTGCATCATCCTATGCTGGTGCTGCTACTGCTGGTGGTACTCCTGCTTGTGGCGGTAGAGGGGTTTGCATTCCAGACCGGGTCAGCATGTCTACGAGCTGTTTGTGCGATGCAGGATTCACCAAGTTTGGAAGAACCAGTTGCATCTCAGCAGGTAAGTTAGTTTCAAAAAGAATAGAACCAGGGAAGGCATAATACGAGGGTTATGACATTTGCATGCCTCCTTAATTTCTACCCTCAATAGAGTTTCTCTCTACGGTTCCATAAGCGCAAGGCTCATCGACTAGACTCTCCCATCCTATCTAAACTTTGCCACCATTTGCTTTGCCCAGTGGTCCACACGTCTCTTTTAAGAGTCCTCAATTCATGACTGGTTTTTCACTTTCATCCTCACCCTCCAAGTGCTTGCATTGACTGCCTTGCATGGATTCAGGGATCATTGGAATCCATTCAGTCAGCCAGCCTATCGCTCCGCCAACAACCATGCTCACCAAGGGGACAGTGAAGGAGACGGGCAAGAAGTTCACCGCAGCTCCGGTGACTCTGTTTGTGTACGAGGCAGGGCAGGCCACGTCTGGGTGTGGAGTGCAACTGGCCTTCCAGGCCAACTTCACCTTCATGCTGTCGCCCCGATCGGGCCGCAAGGGCAGCGGAGGCTTTGCCTTTGTCATCTCGTCAACAGACCAAGGTGGGAGCGGATCCGGTGTGGGGTATAGTGGAATGGACAGCCAGAGCATAGCGGTTTAATTCGACACTCTGCAGGACAGCGGCAGGGGGACATGCGCCACCAGCACGTGGGGTTGAACATTCACGGACAAAACAGGTCGCTAGCTGCTGTGAAGTCGCCATTTCCTCTGAACAACAAGAAGCGGTACACGGCATGGGTGGACTATGAGCCTGGGGAGCCCGGCACCATCCAGGTGTTCCTGGCTGCTTCGGAGGTGAAGCCAGTGGAGCCGCTGCTGGAGAGGAGGGTGGCGCTGTGTGAGGTGCTGCAAGCTGGAGCGGAGCAGCAGGCGTTCTTCTTTGGCTTTGTGGCGTCCACTGTGAAGTCGTTACAGAAGCATCTCATCCTCAAGTCCGCAATGCACACAGGTACGAAGCCCTGTGTTAGTCCAATTATGATTGTCGTGGTAATGGTGGTGCTGCTGGTGGTGGTGGTACTGCTGCTGCTGCTGCTGCTATTACGCTAGGAGCTTAAATATTTTGTTTCTGCTGAGTCTTTGGCTGGTTTGTAGTGTTAGGTTGTGTGACATACATTACCACGAATAAGACTAAATGAATTCAGTCAGCACGTTGAATTCATTTTATCTCACCATTCTCTGAAGCAATTATGACAACTTTATGGTTCTGTTCATGTTTGCCTCTTTTTGCAGGTCTTCCTGCTGTACACAATGCAGTGGGCGTCATTCCTGGTAAACAACCCTATATTTTCTTTCATCAAAGAATTATTACACGTTGTGATGTTTTCTATCCCCTTCACCTATTCTTCTCTGAAATTTACCCTGGTTCTTGCATGGTACAAATCATGATAACAATCTCTATATTGCTCTGATACAAACCCGACACATGTGCATACAACCACATCCTTCCCCATTTCAACAACTTTCTCTGCCCCAAAGCCTTCTTGACCATCTCAGCCTTAAGCCTGAGTATCTCTGCAGCCTCATATGCGCCAGTGGGAGCCAGTCCCTTCATGCGCTACATGAGTGCGGACTACCAAGTGTTGCCCTACCAGCCCAGTGAATGGCACGTCAGCAGCTCCCACTCCTGGGACTCCAAGTTCTTCCTCGGCTGGCCCGTCAAGAACCAAAAGGACTGCAGTGAGTGGGCATGGTTAGAATGAATAGCCCGTAGAAGGGAATCTGGCCGTTTCCGCACTCAGAGGTTGTGGTGTGTTGTGATTTTAAAGTAAGTTCCTGTGTGTGTGTTTTTTTTTTTTTTTGGTCTCCTCCTCATGGAGGAAGGCAAGTTAGTACCTTAATTGATCTATGCACCTTAATTGCAATGAGGCCTTGCCCATTGACATCCTTCAAAACACTACCTTTTTACAGGTGCGAGTTGGGCATATGTGGTGGTGGCGAGTGTGGAGGCGGCATACGGCATTGCATTGAATCAAGAAGCTCCACGGCTGTCAGTGGACTCGATCTTTGCAGCCATGGGGCTCACCTTCCCTGCTGACAAGTGCACCACAGGGAACTCCCCTGCTGCGGCCTTTAAAAGGCTCCTCACTCTGCCGCGTGGTGGACTCACAATAGCCAGCAAGCCGGTAAGAAACATATTTGTTTGGAGAACCAGATCTTGAATCTTGACAGAAATGACTAATACGATGCGGTACAGGGGTTTATATAGGAATACCGTGGAATGCGAAAGGTCCTAGCTAGCCATGTACTCTGAGGGGGTACATTCCCCTTAAAGCCCGCAGCCCAGATTGCAAGCCGGGGGCGTCAAGTTTTTAAAACTTGACACCCTGACTCTCGGGTTACCAAGTACCAGGGAGACATTAGGCCGCGTGACACAACACAGGTCTTGAACCAACCAGAACACACCACCCTGAAGTAGTGAACCAATGAAATTGAACACGAATGTGTTCCGTCGCATACCAGGGTGGAGAAGAACTTGCCTTGCCAGCACTCACCCAAAAACTTGAAACGACGTGCGCAATTTGGGACTTCTGCATACAAACAACCTCCCAGCTGCACGTACAATTGGCCCACACACAACTCAGATACAACTGCTAACGTCCATGGCACCCGTCTGTGTACGATTTGCCGACATCTCAATGGAAAGTGGCGCGCACCCTGCGGAAACTAGGGTTATGTACGGCTCTGACATCGGCAGTTTCAAGGTTAGAGTGCAGATCGCTACTCTAGACGACATTTGTGGCGATGGTCACGTTCTCGGTGTCAGTCGTCATAGCCATACATCCCAAAAAAGGCGTGGTCGGGTGGGCATTGTTTTTTTAGGGTTCCGAAAGGTTACCCCTGTAATACTTACCGTTCAGTTACGAGAGAGTTCATTTGTCGATAGGCGCTTCGGGAATCTTGCCCAGAGTTACCTGGTCAGCTTGGGCGCCAAATGCTCGCGCTCGTGATTGGCTGTCGCTTCATGGTTACGGAAGGGTAAGATTTCGCATCAGATTTGTCAAACTCTTGCTTTGACTGGATGGTTCGTTTATGTTTTCAATTCAGATTCGACTTTGTAAAAGGACCATTGTAACAGCGCTTTTATAATTTAATACTTTTGTGCTTTATGTCAACCTGTCATTTGCATTGTTATATACAAAATTATGAGTGATAGTAGAAAGGAAATTTATGCTTCACTAGGAGAATGTGTAGTGATCCTATGTGTTCAAATATAATCAAACTGTGTTGTGGGGCTGAAAACAACAGTTTGCGTCATTTTTTGCGTGCAGTTTAGATTGACGTGCTCCATATTGTTTTTGGATGGTCTGCATTTATATTTACGATCTTACATCGAGTTCTTACATCTAGTCCTTACATAAACGTTTACTTGCCTAAGTCTGAATATACGTCGGCCACCGACACCGGATGGAGCATTGGTGCGTCGTCGGCCACGCAGCGGCATCATCGGAGGCCGTCGTAAATGGTCCAAGTCAAGCAAGTCGGTGACAAAGGCACGCGATGACACGGGAGTAGTCGGCAGAGAAGCGGACGAGAAGGGAGCCGACTTCAAGGGAGGAGCTCGGCTATGGCTCGTCGAGCGCCATTGTCAAAGTCGTTCACAAAGCTAGCGATGAAAAAAGGGGAGCCGTCGACGCGGGAGGCGTGGAGTGACAGCTTATTGAGCGACGTGGTTGAAGTCACGGTTGACAAGCCGGCGGTGCGACATTCCACTCGCCCTAACGTCCGCCCGGCATTCGCCAACACGATTCTCGAAGGCGTTCATGCAGACGTTGCACAGCATAAGCTGGATCCGAACGTATACGCCGATAGTGAACGAAGTTGGGACATCTCAACGATGACCGTCAAGGAGGCGCTGGCAAGCTGGAAGGGCAAGGCATTGAAAATGGCAATGGACAAGGAGATACAAAGTCCCCTCGCCAATGGCACACACCAGCGAGTGCCTCAACCACACGGCGTCAACGTCATGGAGAACCGCTGGGAGCTTACGGCGAAGTACCATATTGACAATACGGTCACTGCGAGAAGGCGCGTCTGGTGGTGAGAGGCTTCACCTAGGTCTGCGGTGGCGTCTACGACGAGACGTATGCGCCGGTCAGTAGCTATGCCACGCTCAAAATTATCCTCTCTATCATCGTTGTCTTTGAATTGCACATGATGCAGCTCGACATGAAGAACGCCTTCCCACAGAGCAAGCTGGACCGCATTCTATAAACGGACCAGTCGTTCTACTACACCCACTGTGCGCGCAAACTTTTAAAGAGCTTATATGGACTTATGCAGATCTTGCTGCCATGGTTTTTCTCGGTGAACACCGTGTTGACCGGCGTCGACTGTAGCAAGAGCCCGGTCGACGAAGCCTCCTACTTCAAGGTCGGCGACGACTAAGTTGCATGTTGGGTGCTCGTCTACATCAACGACCTTCAAGCCGTTAGCATCAGATCCGTAATGCTAAAGAAGTTGTGCGAGATGCTGCAGAGCATCTTTGTGCTGTGCGAGATCAACCCGGTGGGCCTGGAGATTGAGCGCGACCGACCAGCACGGAAGCTGTGGCTCTACCAGTAGTCCTAAGTCAACAAGGTGAACAGGCGCTTCATCGGCAAGGGGCGGTCTCGTCCGCGTCCGAAGACGCCAGTTTCCGTCAACGCCTACACCGAGTTGACGTTCGACGTCGAAGACTTCTAGCCTCGTGATGAGGAGGAGTACTATCATAAAGTCGGCTCGCTGTAGTTCGCCGCCACCATGGCTCGGCCGGACGTCGCCCCTGCGTGCACCGAGTTGGGATCCCGCTTGAATGTGCTGGACAACCAGGGTTTAGGTGATGGCGACCTCTGCCTCGCCTACTTGGTTGCACGCGCGACGTCGCCCTCGAGTTGGGCTGCGGGTCGGTGACTCTGTTTCTGGTCGCCTACGCAGATGTCGGCGACGCACCCGACCAACAGTCGTGCAGTAGCACGACTGCGTAAATCTTCGTCCTCGGCTGCGCAAGTGTTTTATGGACGAGCCAGTACATCAACACCATAACTTCCTAACAGGTGTTGTGACTGGCACCAAACCTCTCTGTCATTCCTGCAATATCCTAGACATCTAAAGTATTAAGAAACCCCACCTTTAAAATGACAAACGAATGTTGATACAGCAAAGTGTGGTTGTTTGGGTCCTATTGTCAGCATAATCCTTTAGAGTCACCACACCTTCATACCAGCTGTTGAGAAGGGCACAAATACTGTCCAACTTCTGAGCAATATTCTATGTGAATGGATGATAAGGAAAAAACCTCATTTAAAATGATGAACGGGCATCGAAATGATACCACGTATCGTCAGGCCTACCCTCGCACGGCTTCATCTGTTCGACTATAAGAAACACTATACATTCGTACCTGATGCTGTGAATGGCATCCTTTCGACACCGTGAATGAACGAATTATTAGGAAAAACATTGCGTAGGATGGCAAACGATCGTCGAGATGGCACCTCATGTCGCACAACAGATCCAAGCAGGGTTTACTCGGCCTTCTGGTGTGACACAACAGATCTTCCTACTGGATATTGTCCATGATCCTCCAGTTTGTCCAGCATCCATGCATTATAGTTAGTGAAAGAATGATCAGCTGAAACATTGGTTCAAATGGCAACCCCACCTCAAAATGACACCACGTATTGCAGAGGCCTATCCTTGCAAGAAATTCCCTGCTATGTTGTTTCAAACACCACTGCTTCCTACTAACTACTGCGAATGGCACCAAACCTGTCCAGATTTCTTTCAATAAAGTTGCAAACGATGGCCATCATCCAGAGCTGTATCGCGTATAGCACCGCGTATTGCATAGGCCAACCCAGGAACGGTTAAATCCTGCTTCATAGTTACTTAATGGCCACGGTTCCGCTGTGCAAACAAATGTGCGAGGGTGTTAGCAACCTCTCAGAAAAGGCACAACAATACTACCAAGAAGACTGTGGTGTATTAAGTATGATCGGCAGAAAGACAAGCTTTTTGCATTTTCCTTCAACAAACGCCCTCGCTGATCTGTGAAGCAAGGACATCGACCATTGCATTAGCCTCTAAGACAATATTGTGTTATCTCGATAGTATGTCAGCCATGGAATCATGCATAAAGGACAGCAGTCATATCAGGTCTAGTGTTTAGTGGAATGTGACATGGGCAGACGTTAGTAAGGCTCTCAGTTCTTCTCATAGCTGCTGCTTTGATCATAGATCCACCGTAGTCTCGTGGTCGTCAATATTGGGCTTTATCAATAGCTCGTCCATGTGTGATGCCACGAGCAGCTGCTCCAATGGTCGCTAGAAGTAATTTTCCCGCACGGACAAAGGGCTCCCTCATATCTCCACCCACTCATGTTCACTGATAACAGAGCCGCCATCCTGCTGCACAAGGAGCCTAGATTAGAGGGCACAACTTAACACCACAGTATGCGGTATTTGCTGACTCAGTGGGTTGGAGCAGCGTGTTCAAGCACACATGGTTCTTGTGGTAAACCACATAGGCCAAAACCGATGTTATATTCATCATGGCTCCCTAGCCTTGAGATATCATAGAGTCTATACATAGCTTGGCCTTGTCCCAGTAGATCGTCAGATGGTTGATCTTTGTATCGTGTACAGTTTGCAAAGCAGACTATAACTGAACTCGAACCTCATCATTGTGGGCCTTTACCGCGTTCGTAGGAGTAGTATTGTCATTGTGAGTTGTCACACACGTGTAGTTCTTTCTGGTTGACTTGCATTTTGGCTGTTTGCCTTACTGGATGGACCATTTCAGCCACCCTGATTACCTTAACGGTAGTACTATGCGCAACATATATACATACTACTCGAACCTGGACGAGCCAAAATCGATTTGAGTGCTACATATCTGGTGGATGTCGGGCTAACAGTTGAATCAACATACCACGATAGACAAACCGATAAAGTAGACACAACACCGGTCATAGCACATGCCTCACATCTCACGCTTTAATCTCCTCAACTTTAAAGAACAATGTACGTACATGTTAGGATCTCGACAAGGTAAGCAGACTCATTTTCACAAAGTACAGGTCTCAACAATCAGTAAAAACCATGGCAACAAATACTACACGGCATGAAAATCTACGGAGCATCTCGCTCAGCCCTAACCTTAGGGCTTAGCCATGCGATACTATTCAAACCAACATGTCTACCTTCCATCATCGCTATAAGGCACGACCCTTATAATGCACGTGCCCACCAGATGGACGCAACAATGTTACAAATCGTGCAGACGTTGGAACCACCCTGTGTGATGTACCAGGGTGCCCTGTTTCGCCATGGCAACAATAGCACTGCTAGCCATATATATTACGCTTGATTGTTGCATCCGGTTTGTGAACATACACAGTCATGACTGTACCAAGGTTGCTTCGTCACCAAGGAAACCATTAGGGGTGGTGGAACATTACCATACAGGTCCGATAAATATACGGTGGCATTTAGTGAAGGGGCTCAGGACATAGGGTTTTATATGCTAGGGATGGAATCAGCCCATGTTGAACAGATACATTGTCCAGATTTTGAGACGCGAGGTTGTGAATCTAGCTTGTGTTAAGTGCAAATAGGTGTACAAGTGCGAGCTGGAGAGCTATATTTTATAGTCAATGTCGGATTGCCAAACACTTTGATTGCATTAGTCTGACACGTTAGATTTGAGGGAGGTTAGAGAGACAGGCCACTATGTTACCATCAAGGTTTCTTCAACAATTCTATGGCAATATCACTTTACCAAGCATACCTATTCAACAGCTTCAATGTAGGTCGGGTGAAGGATGTCATAATATGCTCTGCCCTCACAAGGCTCTGCAGGTGAACTACCTTGTACGTGATATCTCGACGACCTGTACCGAGCTTAAGGCTGGTTTCGTCGTCCAGTCCTCGCTCCTCTAGCAATCTGACATACGCCAATGGGTGCATCTCATGTCGGCGTCCTCCCGTTGGCGTATTCACGTGAAATAGCATTAACAACTGCGCGTACACCACGCTGGCCGTGGCAGCACCGCCCGTCTATGAGCCAGGGTTTTTCAGCGTGACGTACGAGAACCAGGGTGTATTCTGGAATTGAGGTGTAGCCCTCGCATAGTGGTCCTCGCACCCTTCTTTGCCAGGAAGGGCTACTGCCGTATGAACCTACAAGTACGTGGTGTTGGAAGAAAATGGTGGATTAGAGACCAACACACGGTCATATGGGCATCGTCATGTGGATGGGTGCGGGAACATATAGGGTCCAGACATACATGTATTTCGTCCACATTCCACCCAGCCCGGTTGAGCGCTGTTGTGAAAAAGTCCATGCAATTGCCATGGACCTCCTTATAGCTGCGCCACACATCCGCCCCTAGTAGCTTGTCCTGACCATGGGGCAAGGAGACCGTGCTCGACGTTGCTGTTAAGATGGGATGACCCTGTGCCGCAGCCTGTGGCGTGGTTGATATGGGTGTAAGGAGTGGTTTGGAGCGGAGTAGCAATGGGGGAAGGGAGGTGCAGCATCTGGTTAAATGGGATGGAGCATGTGGGTGAGGGATGTAAATGATGTGGGGAAGTGGGGTGCTGCATGGGGGGAAGTGGGGTGCTGCATGGGGGGAAGTGGGGTGCTGCATGTGGGGAAGTGGGGTGCTGCATGTGGGGAAGTGGGGTGCTGCATGTGGGGAAGTGGGGTGCTGCATGTGGGGAAGTGGGGTGCTGCATGTGGGGAAGTGGGGTGCTGCATGTGGGGAAGTGGGGTGCTGCATGTGGGTAAGTGGCCTGCTGCATGGGGGGAAGTGGGGTGCTGCATGTGGGGAAGTGGGGTGCTGCATGTGGGGAAGTGGGGTGCTGCATGTGGGGAAGTGGGGTGCTGCATGGGGGGAAGTGGGGTGCTGCATGTGGGGAAGTGGGGTGCTGCATGTGGGGAAGTGGGGTGCTGCATGTGGTGAAGTGGGGTGCTGCATGGGGGGAAGTGGGGTGCTGCATGTGGGGAAGTGGGGTGCTGCATGCATGGGGGGAAGTGGGGTGCTGCATGTGGGTAAGTGGGGTGCTGCATGTGGGGAAGTGGGGTGCTGCATGGGGGGAAGTGGGGTCCTGCATGTGGGGAAGTGGGGTGCTGCATGTGGGGAAGTGGGGTGCTGCATGTGGGTAAGTGGCCTGCTGCATGGGGGGAAGTGGGGTGCTGCATGTGGGGAAGTGGGGTGCTGCATGTGGGTAAGCGGGGTGCTGCATGGGGGGAAGTGGGGTGCTGCATGTGGGGAAGTGGGGTGCTGCATGTGGGTAAGTGGGGTGCTGCATGAGGGGAAGTGGGGTGCTGCATGTGGGGAAGTGGGGTGCTGCATGTGGGTAAGTGGGGTGCTGCATGTGGGGAAGTGGGGTGCTGCATGTGGGGAAGTGGGATGCTGCATGTGGGGAAGTGGGGTGCTGCATGTGGGGAAGTGGGGTGCTGCATGTGGGGAAGTGGGGTGCTGCATGGGGGGAAGTGGGGTGCTGCATGTGGGGAAGTGGGGTGCTGCATGCATGGGGGGAAGTGGGGTGCTGCATGTGGGTAAGTGGGGTGCTGCATGTGGGTAAGTGGGGTGCAGCATGTGGGGAAGTGGGGTGCTGCATGTGGGGAAGTGGGGTGCAGCATGTGGGGAAGTGGGGTGCAGAATGTGGGGAAGTGGGGTGCTGCATGTGGGGAAGTGGGGTGCTGCATGTGGGGAAGTGGGGTGCTGCATGTTCTGGTACATCAATCGATTACCTTGCCATAGGAACTGGTTTGATGCCATTTGCACAACCACGCAGCACGTGAAGCTTGTTTGTGCGTACGATGGCCCGAAACTATGCAAGGTCAGGCCTGTGCGCAACACGTCACCATTTCGCCGTGTGGTTGTTTTTCTTAGCTCTGTTTCTTCACACATTCTGGTACTTCTATCGATTGCCTTGCCCTAGGAACTGGTTTGACCTCATTCGCAGAACTACGCAGCACGTGACGCTTGTTTGTGCGTGAGTGGGCCCGAAACTGTGCAAGGATAGGCCAGTACGCAACATGTTGTTGTTTCATCGTGTGGTTCCTTTTTTTAGCACCATTTATTCCCAAATTCAGGCACTTCAATCAATTATCTTGCCGTAGGAACTGGTTTGACTTCATTCGCACACCTACGCAGCCCGTGGCGCTGGTTTGTGCGTTCGATGGCCCGAAACTGTGCAAGGATAGGCCAGTACGCAACATGTTGCCGTTCCATCGTCTGATTGTTATATTTAGCACCGTTTCATCACAAATTCGGGTACTTCGGTCGATTATCTTGCCATAGAAACTGGTGTGACCTCACCCGCATAACTACGCAGCAGTTGACGCTAGCTTGTGCGTCTGATTTCTTGAAACTGCGCAAGGATAGGCGGCACGCAACATGTCTCCGTTTCATCGACGGATCATGCCATTGTAATTGTTGGGCTGAGAAAAGCCCTTAGGATCTTTGCAAGGCTAAACTCTGGGTAGGACTTGTTGTGAATGCGGAAGCGTATAATGATAAGTCTTTGAACCACCTTGCACTAGTATGTGAGGGCAAAGTAGATTGATTAATAAAAAAGATACAAGGCTTTTATAAGAGTACAAGGAATATGAAAAGACGCAACTAATAACTGTTTTACTGTTGCCGTTGCGGTTCGATACAGTGACGACTCAGGCAGCTGCTCAATAACGAGTTAGTTGTTTGTTTTTGCTGTCGCGCTGTATTTGTCAGGTCAAAGGTCGCTGGCCTTTGACTTTCTCGTACCCTCCAGCGGTTTCTTTCACTTCTCAACCTCCAAGTGTTGACTCACCGATGCTTCGCTGTGCTTCGCCTCGTTTACGACTTAGTGTTTCGACACACAGCAGAAGCGTTTTTATTACTTGTTTCCAACATTCCCCTTCGCTTCTGGAGTGTCGCTGCTAGTGACGTGGCTCTGTCCAGTCAGCAGCATGCAGTATTCGAACTTCTGCTTTCCGAGCTTCTTGGTCAAGTAATCAGCTGCCATCTCAGACGTGGCGCAGTAAGACAGCTCGAGTCTCCCCTTCTCGATCTCATACTTCACAAAGAAATAGCGCAGAGCGATGTTCGCAAATACATTCTTTTTGGCTATGCGGATTGCAGACTGGTTGTCGCAGAACAGAGAGAAGCTGGGTAACTGGGCCAGTTTCGCCTCTTCCAGCAGTTCGCGAAGGTAAAGTCCTTCCTTGGTGGCTGGGCAGAGTGCAATATATTCCGTTTCAGCTGAGGAGAGAGCAATTAGTTCCTGCTTGCTCGATTGCCATGAGCTGGGCCCAATAGGCTCGAGTCGGTAGATATAGCCGGTGCGCGAGCGCCTGCTGTCAGAGTCGCCGGCGTGATCAGCGTCGACGTAGCCGATTAGTTTAGGTGCCGTAGTTCCGGTCTTGTAGTAAGTTAGTCCGGTCGTCGGGGTGCTGACGAGGTAGTGTAGTGCACAGTCGAGCTCCGCCATGTGTTCTGTTTCAGGTTTCTTGAGGTAGGTAGCGAGTTGGCTTGCGGAGTACGAGAGATTCGGTCGGCAGGTGACGGCTGCGAAGAGCAGACATCCTAGTTTTTGTTGGTAGTCGCGTATGCCAGCGGGTTTGAGTAGAGCGGAGCCTTCCTTGTGATTTCTGACGGTGTAGCGATATGGTGTGGAGATGGCGGTCGGGGTGAGTCCGAAGCGTTTGGCGATGGTGTCAGCGTATTTCGCGGCGATGAGGTAGATTGCGTTTTCTTCCTCCTGAATATTGAGCCCGAGGTATTGCGTTACGGTAGATGAAACCGTGAGCGTGAGGTCCTGCTGCAGTTCCCCTTCGAACCAGGTCGTAATGTCGTCAGTCGAGCCAATGTAGAGGAGATCGTCTACGTAGACGATAAGCAAGATGTAGTCGATGCCCTTTGTGAACCGGTACATGCCTTGGTCGTCTGGTAGCTGGAGGAATCCGATGCGGATGAGTCGAGCGTGTAGATACTGCTGCCACAGTCTTGGAGCATGCTTAATGTCGTATAGGGACTTTAGCAGCTGACAGATTTGGTTGGGCTCTCCGTTGGAGCCGTGTGGTAATTCGACGAAGATTTCGGCGTCAACAGGTGCGTAGAGAAACGCATTAGCGACGTCGATTAGCCCCACCTTCTTCTCATTCATGGCGGCGACCGCGAGGAGAATTTGAAGCGAAGTGGGTCGGCTGACCGGGGCGAACGTCTCGGTGAAATCGCGTCCGTGCTCTTGGTCAAAACCGCGCACGACCCAGCGCGCCTTAAACTTGTTAATGGTGCCGTGTGCCTTTGTCTTTACACGGAAGACCCATTTTCCGGTGAGTACCGTTTTTTTGTGTGCCACGCCGATGGGAACGACTTTCCAGGTGTTCCGTTCTTCCAGCGCTCTCAACTCCCTGTCCATGGCTTCGCGCTATTTTTCCTTATGCTCCCCCCCCCCGGAGCCTGCTGAACCGTGGCAGGCTCCTTAGGAATCTCCGTGCCGTGAACCGCGGTGACGAGGCCAAGTATCTGGAGTCCGCTCTGTGTGTAGCGGGGGAGTGTTGACTCCTCGGGATAAGCTGCTTCGTCACCTGCTTCTGGATCAGGTAAGAAGTCGGGTCCTATGCGTTCTGCTTTGTTGGTGTTGACCCTTGCTGGTGTAACGTAACCGTTGTCGGCGAAGTGGTAATATACTTCGGCGTTGACGCTTTCGCGAAGATTTTCGTCATCCTTTGGGACGTCGACAGAGCAGTAAGGGAGAGGTCCGGCTTCCTCCGAGGCTTCATCCACGTTCTGCTCGTCCCAGTCAGCTTCGTCTGTTGCCGAGGCAAAGGCTCGGTCACCATGAAAACCACCTGTGGGGTACCGGTCTTCTTCCAGGTATGCAAGGTACGTCGGAAGTGTGAGTCGCTCGTAGGAAATGACATCACGTGCTGCTACTGTTTCCTTTGAGTGGACGTCGAAAATCTTCCACGCGTTGTAATTATTTTCGATGCCCAGGTGTAGGCCCCACTTTGCGCGTTGGGAGAATCGGCTGGCTCGTGCAGCAGGGGGTCGGTACTGTACCATGCGGCCGGAAACTCTCAACATTTTTGTGCTGCCCTGTTATCCTGTCCATAGCAGGTGCGGTGATGCGTTGTTCGGGAGTGATGATGACGAGAGCAAGTTGTGCAGCATGACAGCGTGGTCCATTGCTTCGGGGCATTGGTGGTTGGGTAGCCGCATGCCACGTAGCAGCTTGTGCATGGTGTTCTGGAGAGTCCTGTTCATCCTTTCTGCTACGCCTTGCTGTTGGTGGGCGTAGGGAAGAGAGATGATCCGCTTGATTCCTCCCTCTGCCAAGTACTGCTTGAACCTCTGTAGGGTGTATTCTCCTCCCCCGTCAGACTGAAAGCTCTTTAGCTTAACTCCCGATTCCCGTTCTGCTACTGGGAGCCAGGCTACGAAGGCTTCGAAGGCCATGTCGCGGCTTGGAAGGCTGAGATGCCAGACATAGCGAGTGGCGGCGTCGATGAAAGTGATGGTGTATCTGTATGCTCCTTGTCCAGGTTCGCGATTGTACAGGAAGTCGGCTTCGGGGCAGGTAAAGCACGTTCCGCGAGCTTGTCCAAGTTCGCTTCCGTCGGTTAGAAGCAGTGAGTCTTTGTCGAGCACGCCTGCTCTGATTGTGTTGTTTAACACCGTGTTGCTTGGATGTCCCATTCGTGCATGCCAGATATCTTCGCCAGCTCGATGTCCGGGTGAGCGACGGTGTAATTTGGAGTTGGAGTAGAAGCCTACGGTAAAATTTGCGCTTCGATGGACTTCTCGTGGTGTTGGATTCAGTTGCTGCGCAGGAGTCGGTGGAGTGTCGTCGTCGATTGGGGCTGGTGCAGTTGAAGGACCCGCGATTGGTGCCGATGTTGTCTCTGCTGCTGCTGGTGTTGTCTCTGCTGCTGCCGATGTTGTCTCTGCTGCTGCCGATGTTGTCTCTGCTGCTGCCGATGTTGTCTCTGCTGCTGCCGATGTTGTCTCTGCTGCTGCCGAGTGACTTCTCGTTGCTAATGCTCTTGTTCGTTCTGCCTCAGGAATAGTGTGCGAATACCAGAAGCCTTCGGGGCTGAAGTCAGGATCAAGATCCGGTGGGTGCATCTAGGAGGTGAACGTGATGATTCCGTCGCTGTCGGCGGTGCCTAGATCTGGAACAAAGTCGAGGACGAAGACGTTATTCTTCAGGACCACCTTCCCGATGTAAAGTCCGCCTCTCCCGTGGTACAGCTTTAACTCCTGAGTGGTGATGTCTGCTGCGAGATGGATGCCTTGAAGCCATCAGCTGACTGATGCTCAGTAAGTTGTAGCCGAGTCCTTCTGCTATTAAAACCTTCGACATCTGTAGTATAACGTTTGTTTCCCGTGACTGAAGTTGAACCACGCCTTGTCATCGTGTGTGCAGGTTCTGGTTGTTGGCGATGGTGATCACGACTTCCCGTTGAAGTTGGTATTCCCGTTGAACGAAGCGACCCGAGGAGCACATATGGTGCCCGCAGCAACTGTCCAAGAACCAGGTATCCTTCCCGGATGGTTCGCTTTGGGCGATGGCTGCGTACGTTGGGTTCGGTTGAAGTGATTCGCGGCGAGGAGTTCTGTTGTCGAGCTGCTCTTCCGGTGAGTAATGTGGCGGTGATTCAGTGATGCAGGAATCTGACAGTCTTGCCATGCAACTGACGATGTTTCTTGCTCCTTGTGCAGGTTGCGTTGGTGATGTTGTTGAGGATTGCGGCTGACTCGTGGGGTGCGCCTACGTGGATGCTACTTGACTGCTTGAAGGTCGAAGCTGCCACTGCGTTGACTGCTGCCGGTTTGGGCAGTGTGTGCGGGGGTGACTCAAAGTCTTGCAGAGATGACAGAACGGGGGTACGGGTTTTGGTTGATGCCGGTTGTTGTTGTTGTTGTAGCGCCGTTGAGTGGGAAACGCAAATTCCGGCACTGACGTTTTCTTCTTGTGCCGCTCCTCTTGCAGGTCCATGTCTTGCTGCTCAGCGTGAATTTCGGCGCATAGTGCTGCTTCGGAGATTTTCCCGTGAGCTCGGATTATGGCGCGAGTGGAGCGCCAGTGGGGACCAAGACCACCAATAACAACTGTGACGAAGGCGTCTTCCGATATCGACCCTCCACATCGAAGGAGTTTGTCGCGCAATTCGCGACAGCGACTGATATACGCCATTCCCTTTTCGTGCGGTTTCATTTCCACTGTTGTCAGTTGTGCCATTAACCGACTCTGATAGACACTGTCTTTTGCCTGATACAGGTTCTTCAAGTGGTTGTACGCGAGCTCGGCGGAGTTCCCGTATCCCTGGAAAGACCGAATGTTTTGCTGCTGGGTTGGAGTTATGTTCCTCAGTAGGATCGTATATGCCATCATTGACTGATATGTGTACTGCTGCTTGTCGTATTGTGTCCCGTGTGTTGGGTATGGCAGAGACCCGTCGAAGAATCCAAGAATCCGAGCGCCTTCCATCATCAGCTCGAATTCGAACGTCCAAGTAAACAAATCTTCTCCGTCAAATGGTCTTGATGTCTGCAGTTTTAAGATGTGCGCAAACTGCGACTGAACTTGAAGTGCATCCAATGTCTTCTCTTGCTCAGGTGAAGGTTGTTGGCGCGGCATGAAACTGACGGAACCGCGCTGGGGTTCGTACGGGGCGAAGGTAGGTTGCTGTTGCTGATTTCCTCGCGCATAGGATGAACCGTCGAGGCTCATTGGTGTCACGTCGTTGTTGTTGTTGCTGTTATTTGACTGTGCAGGTGCCCCTTGCTGGTGTTGTTCGTAGAAGGACATGAAGGAGAAGAACTTCTCAATCATACTTGGGTCAAAGCCTGCGGCTTGATTTGCAAGAGTTTCAGTAGACCCGGATGCTGGTCTTGTTGTCGTGCCCTCCTCTGTCTCTAGGCCAGAGGCAGGGGGTGGAGTAGGAGTAGTACCGGGAGAGCCGTTAGAGGAGCTTCTCTCCTTCTGTGTTGCCATGCCTTCTGATGCTATAGGTGTCTTTGAAATAGTTGAGTTTGCCCTGATTGCTCTCATACCATGTTGGGCTGAGAAAAGCCCTCAGGATCTTTGCATAACTAAACTCTGGGTAGGACTTGCAGTGAATGCGGAAGCGTATAATGATAAGTCTTTGAACCACCTTGCGCTGGTATGTGAGGGCAAAGAAGATTGATTAATCAAAGAGATACAAGGCTTTTATAAGAGTACAAGGAATATGAAAAGATGCAACTAATAACTGTTTTACTGTTGCTGTTGCGGTTCGATACAGTGACGACTAGGGCCACTGCTCAATAACGAGTCAGTTGTTTGTCCTTGCTGTCGCGCTGTACTTATCAGGTCAAAGGTCGCTGACCTTTGACTTTCGCCTAACCTCCAGCGGTTTCTTTAACTTCTAAACCTCCAAGTGTTGACTCGCCGATGCTTCGCTGTGCTTCGCCTCATTTACGACTTAGTGTTTCGACACACAACAGAAGCGTTCAAATTACTTGTTTCCAATAGTAACAATTGTAACTAGAGTTGTTGAGGTTGGTACGTGCATGTAACCATCTTGCAATACAAAGATGTTTATGGTCACGAAGTCCAGTTGTTGATTTTGTGTAAATGTTGCGCTCGGCTAGAGCAGATAAAAGCGTGGCTGTTTCTTCTGGCTGACTAACACGAGATCAACTGCTGGGCACGAGAACCAATATCTTGTTGTCCGCTATTCATACTGAGAAGCACAACATAATATTCTGTTTAATAACCTACAGGCATTACAAACATTATTGTGATTGCAAATTTGTTAATAGACTGCACATACCACAACCAACACAAACCGATATGGTTTGGCTGCTGAATGGCAGTCGATTATCTGCCGGAGCGGACCCCGCGCGCTTCGTGATTCAGAACCAGGGGGAGTTGGTCCTGCTGTCGTTTCTGTACTGTTTATCTTGCTCAACCTTGCTGGCAGTGCCACTAGGGGAGGTGTTCGGTCGTTGAGTGGCCCGCTAATCCTCCCTGTTGTTAAAACCGTGACAACGTCACCTTCGACGTGACCAGTGCAGCGCAACTCACCTGCCAGCGTATGCCTGTACATCGTCCCCCCAACAATCAAACCCTAGTTGACATCCAGTGCCCACTCCTCCCAGTCACAACCACCCCCCATAACTCTCCCGCAGTTTGAATTCAACAATTTGAAATCGTGCCCAGGCCTGCCTGTAGTCTGCCTTAAGGAACGCCGCGCAAAGGCTTTGCCTGCGAGCCATAAACAGTCGTAATCACTCTTTTTATAGCAGAAGTTCCTAAAACGCGCGGTGTCGCTTGAGATGCTGGACGGGTGATCCGTAGCTCTAGCGAGGCTGCTCCCGTTCATCCCCCCGCCGCTGCCAGTGTGTTGTCACTGCAGCATCCTTATCTGCGAGCCGCAGCGGATGACGGGTCCTTGCGTAAGAGACAGATGCGTTGACGTACCGCGTCGGCTGCTGCTCTTTATCTCGTACAGCCGAGCCGCAGTGACTTCTGCCTTTTACGTACCGCGTCTGCTGCTGCTCATAAGGCCCCAGGGACCTTTGCCTTGGCGTACCGCGTCTTCTGCTGACTAGGCATACCACAACTGCCTCTGCTGCCTTGTCGTACCGCACCCACCTTTCCTTGAGGCCATGTCTGTAAACTAGGCGCTGTAGCAACAGAAGCTAACCCCTCACGGTCCATAAGAAGAAGCTTACAATGGGCTGATTCCCTGTCATTCATCAGACACCAGCTTCGTGATACCTTACATACGTTCGAACCTCCAGTGCGCCCTCTACAACCTAGCGAAATGGCCGGCCGTCGCCCTGCTAGAGGCAATAGATCGCCCACTCCGGAAGGTGAGAATGTCGGTGTGCATACGCTATGGCGTGTTTGTTCGCTGATTACACCATGCGTACCTGTCCCGACGGCTGTAACTCAAAACCAACCCAAATCTTGTGTTCCCTCTGTGTGGCAGGGAGCCGTGGATTTCGTAGCCTCAAAGTGGTGAACAATGCTTCTCCGACCACTGAACAGGCGCCTGCCAACAACGACACCAGCGGCCACGCGCCAGTACCGCGGACCTCCAACCTGCAGATGAACGCAGCTGTTCCGGTTGCTGGCGCTTATGCCTCACCTGCTGCATATGGAACACGTAGCACAAGCGCGCGCCGTGGGGCAATCACAAACGCTACAGCCGCTGTTGGTGGTTCCCCTCAGCAGGCGGGGCAGCGTCAGCAATCGGCCGCCACAGGTGGTCCTTCTTCGCAGCAGGCGCGGCAGCGTCAGCATACCGCCGCCGCTGCTGGTCGTTCCCTGCAGCAGGGGGGTGTGCATCACTCCTCCGCCTCTGCTGACGGTGCATCACAGCTACAGGGACCTCCTCCCCTTCCTACCGCCGCTGCTGCTGGCTACTCGCATCAGCAGGAGATGCTGCATCACTCCTCTGCCGCTGCTGCCGGTGCTTCACAGCCGCAGGGACCTCCTCCCCTTCCTACCGCCGCTGCTGCTGGCTACTCGAGTCAGCAGGAGCTGCTGCATCACTCCTCCGCCTCTGCTGCCGGTGCTTCACAGGTGCAGGGTCCTCCTCCCCTTCCTACCGCCGCTGCTGCTGGCTACTCGCATCAGCAGGAGGTGCTGCATCACTCATCTGCCGCTGCTGCCGGTGCTTCACAGCCGCAGGGACCTCCTCCCCTTCCTACCGCCGCTGCTGCTGGCTACTCGAGTCAGCAGGAGCTGCTGCATCACTCCTCTGCCACTGCTGCCGGTGCTTCACAGCTGCAGGGTCCTCCTCCCCTTCCTACCGCCGCTGCTGCTGGCTACTCGAATCAGCAGGAGGCGCTGCATCACTCCTCTGCCGCTGCTGGCGGTGCTTCACAGCCGCAGGGACCTCCTCCCCTTCCTACCGCCGCTGCTGCTGGCTACTCGAGTCAGCAGGAGCTGCTGCATCACTCCTCTGCCGCTGCTGCCGGTGATTCACGGCTGCAGGGTCCTCCTCCCCTTCCTACCGCCGCTGCTGCTGGCTACTCGCATCAGCAGGAGCTGCTGCATCACTCCTCTGCCGCTGCTGCCGGTGCTTCACAGCTGCAGGATCCTCCTCCCCTTCCTACCGCCGCTGCTGCTGGCTAATCGAATCAGCAGGAGGTGCTGCATCACTCCTCTGCCGCTGCTGCCGGTGCTTCACAGCCGCAGGGACATCCTACCCTTCCTACCGCCCCTGCTGCTGGCTACTCGCATCAGCAGGAGGACCTGCATCTGCCTACCGCTGCCTCTGCTTTTGATACATGGCTGCAGGGACCTCCTCCCCTTCCTACCACCGCTGCTGCTGGTTTTGCTGCTGAGCAGGGGGGACTGCATCAGTTTACAGCTGCCGCTGATCCTGGGTCCGTCTCGCATGAACCTCCGCCTCTTGCCTCCGCTGCCGCAGCTGGTCAGTACACTCAACAGGGTAGTAACCAGTTCACAACAAATGCCGCCACCGCAGCAGCTCCATTCGACAATAGCCAGCCGCCCATTAGGCCTAGCAGCCCTCCCTCTGCCCATCGTATGGAGGGAATGGCAACTGAGGATGGTCCATCCTCTCCATTTGCGCTGCCGAACCATACTGCAGTACCTACAAGGGGGGTAGTGGCAAACCCTGCACCGGAAAGAGAGCCTGTTTATGTGGCCGCCTTTCAGACTCACCTCGGGGAAACTTTGGGGCCAGCACCACCCACGGGAGACGGCTCTGTTGTTGGAAGGGCAGAGTTCGATGCCATGATGGCGGAGGTTCGACGGCTGCAACGTGAGAACCTGACCTTGCATAATCAGGTTGCAGCATACGGTCGTTCACAATCACCATCCCCGTCATCATCTTCCGATGATGACGACGAACATGCATCCCCCCAAGCACCACCCTCCCAACCCCTAGGTGTCCCGGCTCAGGGGGCGCAGCCGCAAGTGATCCTTGCCAACCGGCGTACTGTGGGAACAGCAGTTGGCGAGGCACACAACATGGGCATCGCTCCGGACTACAACACATTCGCGCCGGATCTCGAACCGTTCGCGACAAAGGTGGCCACAGCCATGAAGACGATTCCACCTGCGAACGGTGGCTTGTATGTAAGTTTAGGTATATGCATATTTATCATGTTCCTGTCGCCCAACATAGCCTCGCTATTTGCTTGTCATGTGCTTGCAAGTACCCCAAACCCGAAACCCTTCTCCCATCACGCACACTGCCCCCAACTATTATCTATGCCCCTTAGCATTCCCACCTCACTTGCTGCCCACCAACCTCCAGCCTACCCAAAACCCCAATTGATGTGAGCGTGATAATCCGTTCGTTGCTAATCTACCTTTCTTCGAACTCCAGGTTGTCATGTCAGACACAATCGAGATCCTTGTGTACAAGACGCCAAATGGTCAAGTGGATTTCTGGCCTGCACGGCAGAGCCTGCTCGCGGCAATGTTAACGGCCATGAAATGCACGACACCAGAGCAGAGGTGGAACTTGCTGCATGTCTACCTCTACGATCAAGTGCGCCGCACCTACATTCGCAACAAGCTGCAGGACATGCGCAATGAAAATCTCACCAAAGGCCGTTGTGGCGTTATCAACGACTTCGACCTTGCGATAGCCAGGCCTGACCAAAAAATGAAAGTTCTTGGCACCACCTCGGTGTCGTCATTTCTGACGACTTTTAGAGCCGGTAAGAATCACCTTATTGTGTGCCCTTTACACCACACGCCCTTTTCCCTTTACACGCTTTGGTTGTGCTCATTGGCCCCAAAAAGGCTTTCTTGTACCTCAAAGGTGGTGCGCATTGGAGGTGGTGCAGGGCTGCCTCTTCACCTCTGTGGGCTATGCATTGGCTGGGGCCTCCTCTCAGTAGTGCCCCTACTCATGGTTCCCCCCTGTGTGTTTTTCCCCCCATCCTTTGTCTCTGCAGGTGCGCATTGGAGGTGGTGCAGGGCTGCCTCTTCACCTCTGTGGGCTATGCATTGGCTGGGGCCTCCTCTCGGTAGTGCCCCTACTCATGGTCCCCCCCCGTGTGTTTTTTCCCCCATCCTTTGTCTCTGCAGGTGCGCATTGGAGGTGGTGCAGGGCTGCATCCTCACTTCTATGGGCTATGCATTGGCTGGGAGCCTCCTCTTAGTAGTGCCTTCTCCCCACACATAGTTTCCCCCCTGTTTTCCGCCCCCATCCTTTGACTCTTCAGGTGCGCCTTGTAGGTGGTTCTGCTCATTGTCTGGCACAGTAATGGCTTATTCTCTCCTGTTCTCATGCAGCACAACATGCCTTGTATGATTTGCCCTGAGGGTGTGTTCTATGGCCCATGCAGTGAATGGGTCATTCGGACTACTGACGTGGCATGTGAACCGCTATGGTGTGCCGTTTGCGACAGCGGTTTTTGTCCGAAGCATCGCTGCGTCGTTTGCTCGTCCAGGGCACTCGGTGGTGGTGCTGAAAGTGATTCATATCGCATTTTGGCTGTTCGGGGTGAGTTCTGTTTTGTGTACTGGGTACTAGCTGAAAATCTTTGTCGGTTGTCTAATATGTCTTTTTAATATTTGTGTTTGGGTGGTTCGCAGGTGGAGCAGAAACTGAAGAAAGGGACCGACCTTTCCAAGAGCACAAAGGAGAACCGTGACGGCGTGGCAATTTATCACCGTGCCGTCAAGGATTGGGTCAATGCGGCTATTTCTATTGCCAACAATGTGAGGGGGCCCTGGTGGAACAACCGCTACTCTGCTTGGAAGTTTTTTAGTGCAACGAACAGTGTGTTTATTAGCGATGATGGGCTGGATGATTGAAGCTAGCTCCTAAAATGGTATTTAATAATTATTCTGTAGTTATTATTACTGTATGCGTAGTGGTACAATATTACGTACAGTGCAGCTAGGTGTGGATCATGCATGTTGCCTGTAGTAATGATTAAATAAAGAATTTCAACATGAATGTGTAACGGATTTATACAATTTTAATAATAAATACACCAGAACAATGATAATAGCGAATTATGATTTTATACAAACTGTTCATGAACAGTGAGTACAGCGAAAATCAGAACTGAAAAACATATTGACCAATTATGACTGAACTGAAAAAGTAACATGCTACTTGTATTATCGGATGATTAAAAAAACCGTGCATGTGTGCGACGCCCATCTTCGCATCAAGTTACCATTACTAAAACCAGCCATTCAGATGCTAAACACTCAATTTCGCGCACCACTGATGTAAGCGAGCGATGTCAGCAATCACACACATGAATGCATCAGATTTGTTTGACTCCAATCCAGAACATTCATATCTTGCGCGGGAAAATCTCCACCCGTGTGTGAACAAACGAGTGCAATACACGTCATGATTTCTGATTCGTTGACCAATTCAAAGTTACGAGAGGGTAAGTCTAAACAGGTTTGAGACGAGCGGTTGTGATTCGTCGCGATCAAGTGCATCACAATCGAAGTGTCCCACGGGTAAGTTTTTGAGTGTCATCTGGGTATGGTGTGTTCAACCAACATGCGAGACACTCGCAGGAAGGTTTTCAGTAACTTTCGCAGCTGTAACAGTGTGGCAGCCGAATGCTGCCAAGTACAGTGCAGGTGGGCGGAAGTCAAGCGCCACCTCACCAACTGTTCGTATTGGTCAAACGCCTCAACCTGCAGCTGGGCGACCAGGTCCTGACGCGCAGCCCAACACAAACCCTCGCGCGAAAATTACGAAACGCAGAACACCGAAGTTCCGACCGCTCGCCGACTTCGCCAACAACACCGACGAAATTACAGCCCCGTAACCAAGCTCGCCGTCCAATCCCGTACCGCAATAATTCTCTGAATTTCACGGCAGGTTCATTTCAAAGCGGTTGGGTTACCATTGAGAAATTCAGAGAGAGTCGCGACTTGGGAGTGCGACTCGATATTTGAATGTGCTCTATAAAATTGTACTGTGAAATTTGTGAAGTCATAGTGCAATTTCCAGAGAACTCCAGAGAGCACTCTATCCTCGTTTTCCTAGCCTACTAAGGCTGCTACTTCCCTGCCAGCAACGTTTCACTGGTATCAGAGCCTGGTTAGTTATTTCGCACGCTCCCGCCATATTCTAGACCCTATGGCCGGACCGTCTGATATGACGCCGGAACTCTGGAACGAATTTGTGGCGAATATGCGCCGAGAAATTGAACGCGAGGTGCGTGACCGGATCCTCGGCGATCTCCAGGAACGTGGACTCCTGGGCACACAGGTGCCGACGCCAGCACCTGCTGTGGTTTCTGCACGACCCAAAGCACCCGAACCTGAGCCGTTCATCCCTGGAAAACGTCACTTACCGGTGCGACGGTGGCTTTTCCAAGTGGAGGAATACCTCTCCCTTTGTCATGTCAACCGGGCGGAGTGGGCTCGGCACGCCGGCATGATGCTGAGGGGTGCAGCTGCTACTTGGTGGCAGAGTTGCCATGCTACGATTTCAACTTGGGAAGAGTTTTCTGCATCGCTATTAATGAACTTCGAGCCAGTCAACTCCATCGAGCGCGCACGTGACAACCTCGCTGAATTATGCCAGCATCGCCCGGTCGCTGAGTACATCAACCTCTTCCGCGAGCTCGTGCTTGAGATCCCTGACATCCCTGCTGCTGAACAGATGGACAAATTCAAGCGTGGGCTGAAGCCGAAAATCCGCACCGAGGTCGAACTCCGCGGCGCTACGACGTTGGATGAGATGATTCGTGTCGCCGAGCGTTTTGACACCATCAACTTTGCAGCATACCAGCGATTCCAAGGACGAACCGGGCAGCACACCACTGCTGGACCTACCTACCGCACCAACGGTCCTTCTCCCATGGAGCTCGGTGTGGTGGAACAGCGTGCACGCAACCAGTCCACGCTTACGTGCTACTCGTGCGGGAAAGTCGGCCACATCAAGCGACATTGCCCGAACCGCCGCAACTTCGAAAGGTCTCCGGGAAACGGACAGCGCCAGTAGCAGTGGGGCAGACCTCTGGCGCATCGCATGCCCCGCTTCTCCCGACTCCATTATTCATCGGCACCTCTGAACTCTACACCACATCCAACGCTCCATTCCCCGCCATCATTCTATACGCAAAAATAAAGAATCGCTACGTTGACGTTTTGCTCGATACCGGCGC